ATGAGAAAAAGAAAGAAAAACAGTGAGCCCTCATATTCTACTTCTGATAATGTTACTATAATAGGAGACTCTATGCTACGTTAGTATTGATTCAAAGCAGCTAAATAATACAAAGGTGATATCAATGAGCGGTGCAATGGTCCCTGATATTAGGAGAGAGATTCATCGTAGGCGTGAATTCATACAGGATACAACAGATATTATTATCCATTGTGGTACCAATGACATCGACAATAGAATATCGCCAAGAGCTATAATAGATGAATACTATGAAACCATTGAACTGGTGAATAAAATTGTACCATCAGCCAGAGTATTTGTATCCAGTATCTGTCCAAGAAGGGACTACAGAAACAGAGATGTAGCCTATATGAACCAACAATTGAGATCTGTAGCCAATAACACAGGAAGTACTTTTATTGACAATAATAATTTCCTGTTGAAAGGTGAATCAGCTGATAGATCTATGTATTATGACAAGGTACATCTAAACTTTAAGGGGACAGCACATCTCCTGAAGAGTTTTGCAGTCTATACACCAGTCTTCAATGCACTACCGGATGACAGTTCGAGTGGAAGAAGATGGCCACAACAAGCATATCAACACAATTCTATATATCCAAGATCAGATAATAGGAAAATTTCTGGATGCTTCAACTGTGGTGAACCAGACCATGTTCAGAGTGTATGTCGACTGGAATGAAAATTACATGTAGGAGCTGTGGTCAACAAGGTCACAAAGCCAAGTTCTGCTGGGTAAGATATGATTAAAACAATGGCCAAGAAGAGTGTGCCGGTGAAAAGGAGACTCTTATAGAATATTTAAACCAGGACCAACTGGGCTTTAATGAGACTTTTAAGGATGATATAATTTTACCAAATGCCACAAACTCAAATGTTCTCTTTGATAAAGTAGTGAAAACTCAAAGCCATACATGCATGTCCAGTAGTGTTTCATCTAACAGTCCTAACTGCCATAAAGCTACCCATAAAACAAGACGAAAAGCCAACAAATCAAAATCACTTGCTTCAAAATTACGGCTAGGATATGTAAATTTCAGAGGGTTGAAGTCTAAAGAGCATGAGCTTAGCCCCTTGCTTAGGGAACTAAATTTGGACATTTTTGGAGGCACTGAAACCTTCCTAAAAAACAGTAAAACACCAGTTGTAAAAGTTTACAAATGGCTTGGTAAAAACCGTAAACTAGGGCGGTGGGGGAATCGGTTTTTTAGTTAAGAATAATTTCCAGGTAATAGACGATAATTTATTCCAATCACAGGATGATGATATAGAAAGATTATGGATCAAATTAAAAGT